AGTTGCCACTTTTAAGCAAATAAACATAACATCTCTAACTACCTCAAGGGCTCCAACCATAACCATTTGATAGTAAGCTTCCCCTCTATAAGGTTGTGTCACCCTTATTCAATGTTTGCGCCACCTTATGCCATGTGGAAGTCCTCAACTTCTTATTCCAAAACAACCTTATCTGATTCGGTAAAATTTGACAATGTTACACTCAACTTTGGATTGATGGTAAGAAAGTTATAGCCTATTAAATCAAGCATGGTTTGATCCTAGTTAAAGAACAAGACCGTTGTCATAGATTCATAGGTCTTACTCGTACTAGTATCATTGTCAAAGATTCATAGGTCTTACTCGTACTAGTATTACTCCTATTGCATAACAAATGTTATCATCTAGTGTCGCAAATCCAATGTTCACTATCAACCCTCTCTCTTATTATTTTATAAGGGGTACCATAATGAGTTCCTCCTCGTTCTTGCTATTGTATGATTTTTTGCCCTTCTACAAAATCTATAGCTTGTTTGGCTTTAATGATCTTCTATTTGCGATGATTAATTCATGAAAGATACATCCCCAATCAGCCATTTTCTCTCAAGGTTTCAGTTATGAAATTTTCAACTTGTTCTGGAAGTCTCAAGAGTTTGTTAGTAATCTAGAAAAAAGGAAAAACATGAGAAAAATAGAGAAGAATGCTCTTCTAACATATCAAAGGAAAAAATAGAAAAAAAAAATCTCATAGGATCTAGTTTTTAAAAACTATCTTCAAACCCACAAACAATTTCTCAACCATCAACCATTTTAAGACTATAAAAGGAAAAAAGATTACATAGAAAAAGGGAGATCCAGGAAAGAGAAATCACATAAAAAAGAAATAAAATACATAAAAATCAATAGAATATTTAAAATAGAATTAAATAAAAAATGATAAAGAAAAAATTTTATTTTAAGAATAAAGCAGGGGACACCAAATCAATCTAAGATTAAAACAAAAGAAAAAAGAAAAAGCTAAAAATCAAGAGGAAAGAAGTAAAAAATCCAAAGAAGACATCAACATTCTCTTTACAATGTAAACCTTGAGGTGAAGCTCAATGCAAACATCCCCTGTCCTTTTATTTTGCCTTTTAAATTATTGCTCATAATATTTGTTAAGCATCAATTGAAGCTATTTTTAGTTTAAAAGCTATGATTCTTGTTTTGAGATGCTTAAACATGCCACGAATAAATAATATATATGCTCAGTTTGTTTAATTACCTTTTTTCTAATGCATTAGAATATGATAATAGAATGAAAAATGTTAGTATAGAATATTATCTTACATGCTTTGATGTTTGGTTAATCAATTTTTAAAGTCATTGTAATTGTAAGATATGTCAAGTATTGAATTTGTTCTGTTTTAGATTGTTTTAGGGTAGCTTGTTGAGTTTATTGAAGTTGTGAGTATGATATTTGAACTTAAGAATAAAATTTTTAATTAATAGAACAATGTTTATATATAAAGAGATGTTATTTTTTGCTTGCTATTATCATTGACTTTGCTTTCTGTTTTTGCTTTTGATTTTTTATCTTGTTCTTTTGATGATTCAAATAAGTTGTGTTAAACATGTTTGAACTTTGGTTGCTATGTTTAGGTTGCTTTTCTGGGTTATATTGCATTGTTTTAGGTTTATTCTTTATTGCTAGGTTTCTAAGCTTGCTGAATTTCTAGGTTTAGATGTTTTTGTGTTGATCATTGCCTTAGGTCATTGATTTTTGTTTTTTTTTTAATTGTTTTTTTTTCACTCTTAAACATGCTTAAAAAAATTGTTTTTTTTCACTCTTAAACATGCTTAAAATCTTGTTTATCACTAACCTAGGATCCTAATGACCTAAAAACACTAAAATCATGGCATTTAATCTTCATTTCTTTCACTTTATCTTTGCATAAAATCAATTAATTATAATAATTAAGTGTTTTGTTGTGATCCAGCCTCAAATTTTTTATTAAACATTGGTTTTATATTTATCTGAACCTTCAATTTAATTCGACATCGTCTAGTTTTGAATCTTAGTTTGGGTTTTTTTCACGAGTTCATGGTGTTCTTGAATGATTTCAAATGTTTTTCCCTCTTTGTTCTTAGCTCTTTCTTTTTTCTTAGGCATGTTTGTGGGCTTGGGTCTTTGGGCCAGAAAGCTCAATCCAAGTGGATGAGCTGAGTCTATTAGCTTAATAGCATGTTTGGCATGCCTAATTTTGGTGAAAGAAAAAAAAAACATAATATTTTGGTTTGGCATGTCTAATTTTTGTGAAAGAAAAAAAAAACATAATATTTTGTCCTTAAAGCATATTTGCCTAACACAGTCTTAAAGCATTTTTTAAACCTTTGATTTTTTAGTTAAGGATGTGTTTGGCAAATACATCCTACTAATTTTTCAGCAACGTTTAGTTTCTCTTTTTTTATGCTTTTTTCAAACAAACCTTAAATAATTTTTAAAATTTTACAAAACTTCAGGGATCATTTTGAATTTATTTGTAGGTCTCTTGCGTGTTTTCCAACTATTTTATTTAGTTTTTGAGTTGTAATCTTACACGGTAAGATACTAATCTAATATTAAATATATTTTTTTCTTAAAATTTTCAAAAAAATAAAAAAATAAAAAATTTCTTATTTGTAAAAATCAAACATACATTTTTATTTATGTGCTTAGGGCAGATTCTAAAATTTTCATGCATATTTTATATAAAAAAAAATTGCATTTTAACATACTTGAAAAATACAAAAAATAAAATCAATTAAAAGATAATAAGTTTGTAATTATCCATTATGATTTGGAAAAAAAATTAAAAAAAATATTTAATTTTTATGATATATATTTTATATAAAATAAAAATTTTCTTATCAAGAAAATTTTTTTTAACTTTAAACAAACTAACAAATAAAAACATAATTTAAAAAAAATCATCAACAATCATAGATAAAAATGTGTCTTTATCATGTATAACTATTTTTCTTCCCTGAATTCTTACAAATTATTACTCTTTTGAATGGTCATAAACTCTATTATTTATATTTTTATAATTATTTCTTAATACATTCAATTCAAAAGTCAAATCCATCATTCATTATTGTGTACAACCGTATATTCATAGACTAGTTTCGAAGGTGAAATGTTCATGTCATAGGGAATTTTCCACATGACAAGGGAAGCCTATTCTTGAATTATGTGAGGCTACGAGAATGTGTGGCATCTAATGTATGGTGTGAATTATCCTAGGGCAGGGGCGTTTGATGCCTAAAGGGCTACATATACGAGCTAACCTTTTTCCAAGCATGCTCCCTTCCCCTCACCATGTGGTGGAGTGTAGACAAAGCGAACCCCCTCAAGGCCACACATGTACTCCAGCTGCATTAATTTGGAATTATGAAGAATAAATATGCTTAGGAAGAGCCCTCTTAACTTATTCCAATCAGAAACTGGTTTTTTCATTATTTCGACTTTATTTTATATATATATATATATATATATATATAAAAGAAAGAAATCACCCTTTCATTTTGATAACAAGGCTCAAAACTAAATTAATGAATTTTTTCACTTATTTTTCTAAGCTTATATTGCAATCTAAAAGTTGGAAGTGAGAGAGGTTTATTTCCTTTACTTATCTTATATTTAGCACCCATTATAATTTATTTGTATTATTAACTTAGTTTGGTTTGAGATAGGTTTTAAAAATACCCAAATGAAAAGTGATTCATTTAACTCGATTAAAATTTAATTTAATCTTTTAAAAAAATTATTTTAATTAAATTAAATTAATTTAAATTAACTCAGACAATACCTTAAAACAAACAAGGCATTAACTTTGATAGGCAAAGATGCACGTAGGATAAATGCACTAAGAATCGTGATGGAATTACATTTTTCATACACAAGCAAAGGTTGAACTTGCAAGCTATTAAAGTATTAATATAAAAACAAAAAGAAACATTAAGAAATATATAAGGAAATTAGCAGGCTTATTGTTATAAATGCGGCCCTGTAATGCCCCAAGACCAAACCCATTTTCTTATTGCAAACGTGGATGATAGCAGGTGCGTGACATAAGCATGAAGTGTGATGATGGTGAGATGAATATTTGTTTTTGTTTTTTTTAATTCTTCCACAGAAAGTCCACTTCTTGAAAAAAAATGAATGTGGGTGCCTCGCCCTCTTTAGCTCCTCCAATATTAGGCAAACACGTGCCATCTCTTTAAAGAAAAAATGCGCGGTGCAAACTTTTTCTACCATATAAATCTTGAGATGAATTTTCGTATTAATCTCTAAATACTAAGGTATAGATTTTACAAATTTTAAATGACTTATGATTCATATAAAATCGATGAGTAATATTAAAAATATAGAAAATATAATAAGAAAAAACTCTAATACTTTGCATGTTTCATTAGATGACAATAATCTTAAATTAAAACTCACTTGTAAATTTAATTAATTTAATTGTCAAATAGTATATTTAATTTAAAAACTTAAGTTGTTATATGAAATTTCAAGATATGATTTATATTATTTTCTAATATATTTTTTCAAATAAAAGTTTTTTAGACTTAAAACTTATAATGTTTAATTTATATTAAATAAATAGAAATAATGAGATTGAAATTCGTAACTGCTTGATCATCCAAACTCTGATATCATATTAAAAAATCAATTTAAAGATTGAAATTCGTAACTACTTGATCATCCAAATTCTGATATCATATTAAAAAATCAATTTAATTCAAAAATTTAAGTGGTTAGGTAAGGTTCTAAAATATAATTTATATTATTCTATAATATTAATGATCAATATATATATTTTTATTTTTTTATTATATTTTCTCAATATTTAGTATTATTCTAGATTACCACATATATTTGTATAAATATTTTATATAACAAGTTCGTTTATTTAACATTATTTCGATGGGAAGTATACCTTCAATTCGATTATATATATATAGATAAAAGCTCAACCCTAGCTCCACCGAGTGTGATCCAAGTTGTGATTGGTGACTGAAAACGCCTTCCTTCTCACGTCACAGGCACTCACCTTTCTCTCTCATATTCTCTCTTACTCTATAAATTATATCATCATCTTAGCTCCCAAACATCATCATTGACAGCATAAATAACTAGCTAGAGCTACGCAGTTCTTTGGTGAACTGAAGATCATGGCTGCCAATCTTCCTCCTGGTTTCCGATTTTGTCCAAGTGATGAAGAGCTTGTAGTGCATTTTCTTCATCGTAAAGCAGCTCTTTTACCTTGCCATCCAGATGTGATCCCGGATCTTGATCTTCATCCTTATGATCCATGGGAACTTGATGGTACGTTCCACATTAGCTACTCTCATTCATTCCTCGTCTTTTATATCTTCCAACAATCAAATTAATCTCTAGATGTCGATCATCATGAATCATGACATATTATTGACTATGAACCGATACGATTCAAGTTCTTCTGTAATTGATTTTCAACTCAAAAAATATTAGCTTGATGTTTTTATACATGTTTTTCAAAGGGTTTTAACATTTCCGCATCGAAACTATCTACAATCATTATTATAAATAGTCTTGACATATTCTTAAACGCGATCCAACTGTAAAACCTATACAATTTCATGTTATAAGCTTGTGTTAATTGTATAAAGGTAAGGCATTGTCGGAGGGTAAACAATGCTACTTCTACAGCCGAAGAACACAAAACAGGATTACTAGTAACGGGTGCTGGAAGCCAATGGTTGGCCACGTTGAAGAACCTATACTTGCTAGTGAGAACAACAAGCTAGTTGGGATCAAGAAATATTTTATATTTTATGCAGCAGAAGGCATCAAAACTAATTGGATAATGGAAGAGTACCTTCTCTCGGAACATTGCACCTCCCATGGCTCTTCTCCCTCTACAAAATCATCCAAAACCAGAGCCCGTTCAAAGCAAGTACGTGAATAATATTTATAGTTTTCCATTTATTTATTTATTTATTTCTATAATATTATTGCTGGCACCAATATGATAACTTTTGGGATATGTTTTGTTTTGGATTCTACTATGCTCAGGATTATAGTAAATGGGTTATTTGTCGGGTCTATGAGCGGAGTTGTGAGGAGGAGGATGGAGGAAAGGAACTCTCATGTCTAGACGAAGTTTTCTTATCATTGGAGGATCTTGATGAAATAAGCTTGCC